ATGTACAGACTTTTCTTGTCATTATTCCCTAAAGAATACAGTATAACAAGTATTTACTTAGGAATATAAATATGGTGTAACAACTATTTACATTTTGTATTATGTATTATAAGTAATCTACAGATGTTTTAAAGTATATGGGGGGATGTGCATAGGTTATATACAAATACTATGCTATTTTACATCAGGGACTTGAGCATCCTCTGATTTTGGTATCCATGAGAGGTCCTGGAATCAATTCTCCCACCAGATACCAAAGGACATTGTATACTTTTCTTTTCCTTTTTTTTTTTTTGGAGACAGAGTCTTACTCTGTCGCCGGGCTGGAGTGCGATGGCTTGATCTCGTCTCACTGCAACCTTTGCCTCCAGGGTTCAAGCAATTCTCCTGCCTCAGCCTCCCCAGTAGCTGGGAATACAGGTGCACGGCACCACACCCAGCTAATTTTTGCATTTTTAGTAGACGGGGTTTCACTATGTTGGCCAGGATGGTCTCGATCTCCTGACCTTGTGATCCGCCTGACTCGGCCTCCCAAAGTGCTGGGATTACAGGCCTTAGCCAATGCACTCGGCCAGGACACTGTATACTTTTCTTAATCAAAAGCTAATAAACAATATTTGCTTTCCTGGTTTTAATACTAAGTATTTTTCTTAATTTTGCACAGCATATGTGTTCATAGTCTAGGACTACAGAAGAGTAAATTTAACAAAATGGCCTATAGGTACTGTATTTAGTAAAATATATCTTAATGACTATCTTTATAATGTTAATTATGACTTTCAAATTTAGGAATTGTTTTTGATGCTGAATCTACTTATTCTCCAAGGAAACAATCCACCTTTATGTTCTATGATTACAAAATGATATATGTTAATTGTAAAAGTTAAAACATTACAGAAATATTTAAGGTAGAAAATATAACTCCCCTAATTCTACCTGCTCTCATACCACAGTAACAACCAATAAAAATTAAACATATAGTCCCATGGATTGTATTTTCTAGGTATATTAACTTAAGCAAGGTTTCCCAAGAATTATTATTTGGGGGTAGTAAAAAAGAGAACAAAACTTAGGGAAATTATTTTGTAAAATATGCTTGCTAATGCTAAAAACAGGCTTAAGTGCAAAAGGCAGACTATAAAACTGCATATGCGGTATAATCCATATTTTGTTAAACACAGTCTAAAAACAAGTATTAAAAAATATTAGCCATTGGCCAGGTGCAGTGGCTCAGGCCTGTAATCCCAGCACTTTGGGAGGCCAAGGTGGGCAGATCATGACGTCAAGAGATCAAGACCATCCTGGCCAACATGGTGAAACCCCATCTCTACTACAAAAAAAAAAAAAAAATTATCTGGGTGTGGTGGCACATGCCTGTAGTCCCAGCTACTCGGGAGGCTGGGGCAGGAGAACTGCTTGAACCCAGGAGGCAGAGATCACAGTGGGCCGAGATTGTGCCACTGCACTCTAGCCTGGTGCCTGGCGACAAATCAAGACTATGTCTCAAAAAAAAAAAAAAAAAAGGAATATTAGCCATCAACGAATTATAAATCAAAATCTTAATGAGATATCATCCAAACAAATACTTATACATGAATGGTCATAGCAGCATTATTCATAATAGCCAAAAGTATAAGCAATCCAAATATCCTTAAACTTATAAATGGATAAGTAAAATGTGGAATAAAACACAATGGGGTATCAGGAGGCAATAAAATCCTTTAAAATTGTACACTGTAGGTGAACTGTATAAGAATTATATATACATATATATGTGTGTATATATATATATATATACACATATACACACACATACATATATATATATATACACATACACTTTTTTTTTTTTTGAGACAGAGTCTCCTTCTGTCACCCAAGCTGGAGTGCAGTGGTACCATCTCAGTGCACTGCAACCTCCACCTCCTAGGTTCAAGTGATTCTCCTGCCTCAAACTCCCGAGTAGCTCGGATTACAGGTGCATGCCACCATGCCCGGCTAAGTTTTTGTATTTTTAGTAGAAATGAGGTTTCACCATGTTAGCCAGGATGGTCTTGTCCTCCTGACCTTGTGATCTGCCCACCTCCGCCTTCTAAAGTGCTCGGATTACAGGTGTGAACCACAGCTCCAGGCCAAGAATTATATTTTAATGAACTGTTAAAATAACAACTGTCATATCTGGATGAGTAACTAGCAATTTTTGTTTTACTTTTTTTTTTTTCAGTAATGACTGAGAGTATCATTTTTTAAGTCAAGGGAAAATTATTTTCCAAAGTGCTCTTTGTGAGCATTAGAGTGCAACTAGTCAACAGACTAGAGGTTGGGATGGAGTTGCCACCTGCATTCATTTACTCATTCATTAAACACCTACTATGTACTCCAGAAGTTGTCCCAGCATGAGAGAAGTTCTAACACCTAATCAAATACAACGGTTTAACACAAGACTCCCTTCAAAACATAAATTATGCATCATACCAGCTCTGCCTTAATTTAGAACCAAAGGTTGTAATTATATCAAGAAGTATCAAGCAATTTTCTCTTCATTCAAGTAATTGTTTTTCAAATTTTGTTTGTTTTTTGTTTTTTGTAACGAAGTCTCAGTGTCACCCAGGCTGGAGTGCAGTGGCACGATCTTGGCTTGCTGCAACCTCCACCTCCCAGGTTCAAGTGATTCTGCCTCAACCTCCCAAGTAGCTGCTGGGACTACAGGTGTGTGCCACCACACTCAGCTAATTTTGTTTTTTTTTTTTTTTTTTTTTTTTTTTGAGACGGAGTTTGACTCTTGTTACCCAGGCTGGAGTGCAATGGCGCGATCTCGGCTCACCGCAACCTCCGCCTCCTGGGTTCAAGCAATTCTCCTGCCTCAGCCTCCTGAGTAGCTGGGACTACAGGCGTGCGCCACCATGCCCAGCTAATTTTTGTATTTTTAGTAGAGACGGGGTTTCACCATGTTGACCAGGATGGCCTCGATCTCTTGACCTTGTGATCCACCTGCCTCGGCCTCCCAAAGTGCTGGGATTACAGGCGTGAGCCACCGCGCCCGGCCAAGGTTTAAAACTCATTTTGATATTTAAAATAATACCACAGTGCCAATTCAGGGTTTAGCAGCAAAAAACGTATGCAAAAAAAAAAAAAAAAATCAATTCGCAATCAATTAGTAATAACTCAAAAACACTGGGGATCATTTCTTAATGATACTTTCTGGCTATGAAGTCAACCATAAAAAAAGAATCTTTATATAAAATGCTACCAAGAGGAAAATTTAAAAAAATTCATTGGAAATGGTTGGCCTTAAGGTTGAAAAGAAAAAGGAAGACTGAAAAAAAAAAAGAAGGGATAAAAGGCATATGCTCAAGCAATGGGTTATTTCAATGACATTTAGATAATGCCTATCAGCCAAAAATTAAATGCTCAATCAGAATCTCCAAAGATAGTAAGGTAAAAACATTTTAGGGGGACTAGCCTCACCTACATTCTCAATCTGGAGAGCAAAACAAGGCATTTATGTTTTGAAAACTTTCACTAGCTATACTGATATGCAGCCAGGATTCATAATCACTACATTAAATATTTAATAACATGCCCCAAAGAAAACCAGAGAATAAGAAATCTGTTCTCTACCTTAAAACATCTTTAGAGACAGTGGAACACATTAGAGGGAAAAAACTGAACAGCCAGGACACTACATGCAGTAGCCATACTCCATAGGGTAGTAGAGACAAGATGTCGGTTTGAAGTAGAGAGGCAGAAGAAGAAACCAGGGTTAAGGGCTAGCTCATGAGGCAGAATCTAATGACCAAATGGTTAGGGCTACTGAAGGAATAAAAAAGGCAAAAATGTTTCCAATATCTCTAGTTTTTATAACCAGATGGCCAGTGATGCCATTAACCAATGAATGGAAGGCAAAAAGAGAAGGTGGTTTCAAAGTCAGAAAGGGGAGTTAATAGAGAAAAGATCAAAGGGACTTAAATTATTTTTAATGTTTCACTTTTTATGATGGATGTGTACACAGATATTCATGTTCATTTTATTATCCCTCCCAACTAGCTGGGACTACAGGCGGCACCACTATGGCCAGATAATTTTTGTATTTTCTGTAGAGACAGGGGGTTTTGCCATGTTACCCAGGCTGGTCTTGAACTCCTGAGCTAAAGCAATCCGCCAGCCTCACCCTCCAAAGTACTGGAGTGAGCCACTGCTCACAGCCCTTATTATCCTTTTTAAAATTTAACCTACATATTTCACAAATTTCAACTCACAAGAGGTCAAAACTAAAAAATGCACTGAGAATCACTGCTTTTACATACTTATGTATGCATGACATATGCCATAATGAAAAAAAAAGGGAAGGTGAATACAGCACATTTGGTTTTGGACCTACTGAGTTTGCAGGTTTTAGGGGAAAGTACAGAACTATTCTTCACGAGAGGGAGGCTAAAGAATAAAGTCTAGGCTGGGCATGGTAGCTCACACCTGTAATCCCAACGCTTTGGGAGGCCGAAGCAGGCAGATCACTTGAGGTCAGGAGCTCAAGAGCAGCCTGGCCAATACGGTGAAAGCCTCGTCTCTACTAAAAATACAAAAAATTAGCTGGGCATGGTGGCAGGCACCTGTAAACCCAGCTACATGGGAAGCTGAGACAGGAGAATCACTTGAACCTGGTAGGCAGAGGCTGCAGTGAACCGAGATGGCCCCACTGCACTCGAGTCTGAGCGATAGAGTGAATAAGGTTTGGAAAAGAATAAGGCTTGGAAACGAAAAGAATAGGTCTATAAATGGTTGGCATATAAGGACAATGCCATGGAAGCCATGGATGTGAGAAGTCTTAAGGAGAGTCTGTGGAAGGCCATTTGGTTTACAGCAATGACTAAGGGCCAACTAAAAGGAGAACGTTAACTAAGACTGAAAATAACCAAAGCTTTTACTAATTCCCTATCCCTTTCTCCGGGGTACACAGAAGAAAATCAGTTTTTAAAAGGCTGTATTTATGGTTATCTTACTGTAATCCTGTGGCCGGTCCAGGATTTCCAAATAGATGGGATTAAAGGGAGTAATCTGGAAGGAAGGCTTGAAGATGCTTTTGCATTGTACTCTGTATGAAGGTAGAAAACACCAATAGGCCATATCAAAAAACTGAGGAAGACGGATTTCAGGGAAACTTTGGCACCACCATTGCTATGTTCTAGACACTAAATCAAAACAAACCTCTTACCTAATCTCCGTTCTTCCTCATAACAAGCCTATTAGGTAGCCGAGGATATTGAGGCTAGATTGGAATAGCAACTGGCTCAGGGTCACAAATCACCTAAGGAGCTCGTTAGCTGCCCCAAAGTTTTCTAAGGTTCTTTATATGTAACCAGCTCCTACAGCCCTTTACATGTAACTAGTGTTTCTCATTACCCATCTTGATATAATGTATATTTACGTGCATTAACTGTTCAATGGCGGAGTTAATATTCATTTCTGTATCCCTGTAGCCAAGAACAAGTGCGTATTTTGTTAAATTAAGCATGTAAAGGAATCAGGTGAGGATAGCATGAAGAAAGCCAAGAGGGGAAAGTTTCAAGAAATGCATGGTCAGCAGCGTCAAACGGTACAGAGAGAGCCATCAGTTTATCTTAAATCATCATTGGCATTGAACTGATATTCCGTATTCATTTACTGAACGTCTACTACACGCAGGACGTCGTGGTAAGCACTACAAACACATAGGAAAATGAAGTCTGGTACAAGTAAAAAGATTTTCGGGGAAGTAGCCGCATCTAAATTCTTGCTCAGGAAAGCAAAATGAAGACTCAGGCCAGCGATTGCCTACATCTATTTGGCTCAGGTAAATCTGAAGACAACTTAAAAAGGTCACAGCGAATCTTTTAATAAAACTTCTCATGGAAGACAAGAGATAAAGAAGGGCCACAAGAGATAAGCACCTCAGTTTCGGTAACTAAGGCCGGTGGCGAGGGAGGCCGACTTCCCCCGGAGTCTCTCGCCCCCTGAGAGCAGGGCTGGGGCTGCCCCTAGCTGCCCCTCGATAGTCTGGAGCGGGAAAAAGCAGACACTTACCGCAAAAGACACCGCTAACGCCGTGGCCCTAAGGGGCCAGGAATTCCTTAGCGAGGCCCCACGCCGTGGGAAGAAACTCAAAAAAGCCGGGAGCAAACAGACACGTACCACCCCACACCAACTTCCCGAACTAGATAAACTAGGGTCCCAACGCCCAGCACCGCGTCGCTAACTCCCACCAGCTGGAAGACCGACGAGTGCCACCGAACCTTCCGCCCAATGAGGAAACGTCACCATTCCGCGTAGTCCAGCCTCTCTAGAGGAGGATCTACTTCCGCTTCCGGGACACACTGCTGCGTTTCTTCTGCGCGTCGCCCGAAACAGTTTAGATGTTTGCTTCCGCTGGTTTTGGTTTCAGTTTCCTACCGCTGAATAACTGCGGTAGAAAAGTTAGTGGTAAAATAGGAGGCTGTCTAGGGACGTGATTTCGGGGAAGAAGTCAGGATTCAACTAGACTCCTTAAGAAAAGTTAGTAGGCGGAGCACTCCCAGCTAAGAGCGGCAAGATGAAAGATGGAGGTGTGATTGAAGGAAGGGATCCCCGGGCGCACGTGAGACCTCCATAGGAGGGCGGGGCTCAAGGCATCGCAGACTAGAGGCCTGTTCCGCGGAGGGTGGGGCAGTGTCTGCCAGCGCTTGCGCAATGCCAGTCTGTCTGCGCAGCTTGCTCCTGCAGCCTAAAATTTCCTACTGCGAAGCCGGTAGTGATCCTGCGGCCGCTTCGCGCTGTGGCCCCGGCCGACCACCAAGCGCTGCTACAGTGGATGTGAACTATCGTTAAGCGTAAGAGACCAGAGCCTGAGGCAGACGCTGACTTTGGAGACTTAGGCGAGGTGAAGCCAAAAGCCTTCTTTGGGGTCCCTGTGCTGGTCTCTGCTATCCTGTAATGTAGCTTGACCAGGGCTCAGAGTGCTCTAACGGAAAGGCGGGTTAATTGTACGCCGCGCTTAGAGACCAATTAACAAGAGCGAGTCCTGGGACAAGAAGAGGGATTTTATTTCCGAAGCCAGACTGGGGGAAGCGGCACAAATGTTTTTCGCCTTTGGAGCGAAAAAGCGGGCATTTTATAAGGTAGAGGAAGAAATAAACAAGAGCAGGGGTCTCTGCCAGTGGGTACCTTATCTACCGGCAGTTGAGTTGGCGCCTTCCTGAGCAGAAATAAGTTGTAAAAGTGAGCATGTAGATGAATTTGCTCTGTGGAGAATGGTCTAGTGAGGAGGAGAGACGAGAGGTTATTTTGCATTTCAAAAAGGGCTAAGTGGGAAGTGTAGTGGGGAGGGAAAAACGGGAAAAAAAACTGTCTTTTGGATAATGGGGGTAATCGGACACAGTACCACTTGGAATTAATTGGGTGCAGGAAGACCTGGTTCTGAGTAGTTTGTGGATTTTGCAGCAGACTTTGGACAAGCCTTTAGAGCTCTTGTGCCTAACCCTTTTTCTGAAAGAAAATAGAGGGTTAGCCCTCCTTCCCATTACTCCCACAAACTTGTTAGGATTGGTATGTTACCACCTGAAAAAGCACTTTGCAGTAGAGTAAGTTTTAGGCTGTAGCGTTAGTTGGAAGTGTTAAAAGAAAAATCTTAGCCAAGTTAAATGTAGCAGTTTAATTCAACAAAGAACGATTCGAGAATCAGGCAGGCTCAGAGAGATTGCAGTGCCAAGTGGAAGAAGATTTATAGACAGAAAAAGGCTGCAGTGAGATTTGATCCTGCTACTGCACCCCAGCCTGAGCGACACAAGACCTTGTCTCTTTAAACACACACACACATACACACACACACGTTAAAACTGAGGAAATGTGGTAGTTAAATCTAGTTATTGAAAAATGGGATGGATATATTTTGGCAAAGTAAAGCCTGATGAAAGCTCAAGAAAATAGGATATTCCTATGTTTGGTAATTATAGCAAACTATCCTATGTCTGTATATATGTGTATTTATGTGTGTGTGTGTGTGTGTGTGTGTGTGTGTGTGTGTGTGTTTGAGACGGAGTTTTACTGTTTTCACCCAGGCTGGGGTGCAGTGGCACCATCTGGCTCACTGCAACCTCTACCTCTCAGATTGAAGCGATTCTCCTACCTTAGCCTCCCAAGCTGGGATTACAGACATCCGCCACCACACCCAGTTAGTATTTGATTTTTAGTAGATGGGGTTTCACCGTGTTTCCCAAGCTAGTCTCAAACTCCTGACCTCGGGTGATCTGCCTGCCTTGCCCTCCCAGAGTGCTGGGATTGCAGGCCTGGGATTACCACCACACCTGGCCACTATGCCTGTTTATTGCTGAAGGTTGATTCCCATGGTTATTTTTATCCAAAGTCATGACTTGAAATGCCATTGTTAGCTGATGACTCCCAATTTTAGATTTTTAACCTTGACCTCTTAAAATTCTTTGTGATGTTAGAGTCAATCAGTAGATTTAGGTATTACAATTATAATTATTACACATTTTAGGAGTCATTTTAGGTAAGATGTCAAACAGGAACATCTGATAGTGAGATATGTCCTGGAAAGTGTAGAAAACTAGAGACACAGCTTTATTTCTATACACACATAATCAGGATAAGAATTTCCATAATATGCTGAGTCTCCTGTCACTTCATCTGAACCCTGTGTTGCACATTTCATTCTTCATATCCCATTTGTCAGTAAAACAGCACCAATTTACATCTTTTTTCACTCTTCAGCACAAGGTCATTTATTCCAAAAGCGCTGAGTGCCTACAAAAATGTCACATACTGCTTAGAGCTGGCAATTTAAAAATTACCAAAACATCCTTGCCCTCTCAAGATCTGTTTTGTTTTGTGGAGCCATTTGCAATCTAAATCTTGATTTTATTTTTTTTTCCTGTTTTTTGTTTGTTTGTTTTTGAGATAGGGTCTTTGTCACCCAGGCTGGAGTGCAGTGGGACCATCATAGCTCACTGCAGCCTTAAACTCCTGGCCTCAAGGGGTCCTCCCACCTCAGCTCCTAAAGTGTTCAGATTACAGGCATGAGCCACTGCACCCAGCCTCAAATTTTAGAGATATCAGTTGAGACTCTTATTTTTCAAAATCAGGAAGACATGAAAGAATGTTTTGGATAATTTTGAAAACGAGCCAATATCACTGGCTAAAGAATGTATTTTTATTTTTTTAAGGTACTTTTTATTGTTGTTTTTGGAGACAGGGTCTCACTCTGTCACCCAGGCTAGAGGCTGGAGTACAGTGGCGCCATTAATAGCCCACTGCAGTTTTTTTTTGTTTGTTTGTTTATTTGTTTGAGACGGAGTTTCGCTCTTGTTACCCAGGCTGGAGTGCAATGCGCGATCTTGGCTCACCGCAACCTCCGCCTCCTGGGTTCAGGCAATTCTCCTGTCTCAGCCTCCTGAGTAGCTGGGATTACAGGCACGAGCCACCATGCCCAGCTAATTTTTTGTATTTTTAGTAGAGACGGGGTTTCACCATGTTGACCAGGATGGTCTCGATCTCTTGACCTCGTGATCCACCCGCCTCGGCCTCCCAAAGTGCTGGGATTACAGGCTTGAGCCACCGCGCCCGGCCCCACTGCAGTTTTGACCACCTGGGCTCAAGCAGCCCTCCAACCTCAGCCTCCTGAAAGCTGGACTATGGTGCAAACCACCACATTCAGCTTTTTTTTTTTTTTAATTTCTTGTAGAGACAGGGTCTCACTATGTTGCACAGGCTGGTCTCAAACTCCTGGTCTCAAGATCCTCCCACCTCGGCTTCCCAAACTGCTGGGCCTAGAGGCGTGAGCCGTCGCACCTGAGGTTCTTCCTGTGCCTCTCTTCCGCAGACTGTAGTGAGGAAGCTTAAGCAATTCATTAAACAATTTAAAGAATAACTTGAGTTTCTGAAGAATGTTTGTTAACACAAGTATTTTAAGAAGTGAGGCTGGGCAGTGGCCCATGCCTGTAATCATAGCACTTTGGGAAGCCGAGGCAGGTGGATTGCCTGAGCATAGGAGTCTGAGACCAGCCTGGACAACATATTGAGAATCTGTCTCAATAAAGGAAAAAAAAAAAAATTTAAAAAAATTTTTGAGAAAGAAGTGAAAGTATCACTGAGCTTAAAAGTAAAGGAGTATGTATAATCCTTAATAAAGTAGGCTGGGTGCAGTAGCTCACATCTGTAATCCCAGCACTTTGGGAGGCCCAGGTGGGTGGATCACCTGAGGTCAGGAGTTCAAGACCACTCTAAGCATCATGGTGAAATCCTGTCTCTACTAAAAATAAAAAAATTAGCCAGGTGTGGTGGCACACGCTTGTAATCCCAGCTACGGGAGGCTGAGGCAGGAGAAACCTTTGAACCTGAGAGGCAGAGGTTGCAGTCAGCTGAGACTGTACCATTACACTCCAGCTTGGGTGACAGAGCAAGACTCCATCTCCAAAAAAAAAAAATAGTGTATTAGTATACCTTCTTTATTGCAGTAAAATATTCATATGATAAAGTTTACCATTTTAACTTTTTTTTTTTTTTTTTTTTTGAGACTGAGTAGCTGGGATTACAGGCACACACGACCACGCCTGGCTAATTTTTGTGTCTTTAGTAGAGATGGGGTTTCACCATGTTGGTCAAGTTGGTCTCGAACACCTGATCTTGTGATCCACCCACCTTGACCTTTCAAAGTGCTGGGATTACAGGCATGAGCCACCGTGCCCAGCCCATTTTAACCATTTTTTAGTGTATAGTTAAGTGGCATTAAATATGTTCACATTGTGTTGTAACCATCATCACTATTCTCCAGAATTTTTTTATCTTCCAAAACTGAAACTCTTTTTTTTTTTTTTTTTTTTTTTGAGACGGAGTTTCGCTCTTGTTACCCAGGCTGGAGTGCAATGGCGCGATCTCGGCTCACCGCAACCTCCGCCTCCTGGGTTCAGGCAGTTCTCCTGCCTCAGCCTCCTTAGTAGCTGGGATTACAGGCACGCACCACCATGCCCAGCTAATTTTTTGTATTTTTAGTAGAGATGGGGTTTCACCATGTTGACCAGGATGGTCTCGATCTCTTGACCTTGTGATCCACCCGCCTCGGCCTCCCAAAGTGCTGGGATTACAGGCTTGAGCCACTGCGCCCGGCCAAAAACTGAAACTCTTAATGTACCTTTTTATGAAGTGGTCTAAGTACAGCACAAAAGACACTTCTAAATAGCCATTTTTCATTTTCCTAATTAGATTTCCTTCTACCAGGGGAAATTTTTTTTTTAAATCTCTGGCATTAAGTCATTTAAGTATTGTATGATATTTGCATAGTCCTTTAAATTATAACTCTTGAATTTTTTTACCATTTGATAGAATAGCAAGAGACAATGCTAGATTTTAAGTATAGCTTTGGTTTTGAGTTTCATAGAGTTTATTAAAAGGAGAAAACATGGCTGGGAGTGGTGGCTCATGCCTGTAATCCCAACACTTTGGGAGGCCTAGGTGGGCAGATCACCTGAGATCAGGAGTTTGAGACCATCCTGGCCAACATGGTGAAACCCCATCTGTACTAAAAACACACAAAAAAAATTAGCTAGGCCTGGTGGCGCACACTTGTAGTCCCAGCTACTGGGGGTCAGGGGCTGAGGCATGAGA